GACAACTTCGAGCTGGATTGAACATTTAAACTTAGTAAATGAGTGCTCCTTTTATTTGTTTAACGAAGAGATTCGCGAGGGTCGATCTAACCAGAAGATGACGGTGGGCTCCCTGAGTTCAGATGTCGTTTGATTTTACTGGATACATTGGGCCCATGCAATCTTCAAGATATGCTGAATTGTAAGGAAGACTAGGCCGTTTTCAAATAATTTACCGTCTATAAGGAGGTTTTCAAGACTGCCATTTTTGTCTTGCACCGACAATGTATGCTACGTAACGTCCGACGGACTTCTTAAACTCGCAGGACGGTTCGTACAATCCAGCAGTCTCCTCTTCACGGCTAGACTTCTTTCTTTGCCGGTGGATTGACTATCGAGTCACGAATCTCTTCCAACCTACCTTTTATTCAAAATGAAAAGACGGATCAGGTTCCAGTTACTGGTTGAATGTCGTCATAGAAACGACAAACTTAACAATGGTCTCAAAGAGCCACTTTATATCAATTCATCTGAATTAGTTGGATAGTTGATGAACAAAAATGAATGGATGCGGTAACAGCTGTTTGCGTGTCCAAATGAATAAGTCTTTGATCCTACACTTTTGACACGATTTGTAAATTTAGCATTTTCGCATTACTTCTTCCGTTTGCTTTCTTCCGACGGCATATTATGCATAGTTTATCGTGTCAAAAGGGAGAGATAATCTCAGATCAAGGCGGTTCTGTCCCGATTCAGCTTGACGTCTCAGTGCACCTCGCCACCACGAAACCAGAAATCCGCACTGTCTGGTTGCGCTGCCAAGTCCCATAGTCCCCTTTGCACTGCCTCCCTATACTTATCGCCCCGCGCCCCTCGCCCCTCCCCCCCACTTCACTATCGCACATCTCTCGGAATGTGAATGCTTGGCAAGACAGAAACGACAACAAATGGAAATGAGCTCACAAAGCTCGTCAGTTTAGTTAAGCCATTCATCCTTTCGGCAAATGTGAATGGGCCGGATGAGGGAAAGCTGGAGGAAGCAGCTGAGATA